CCCCCCCACGGACCAGGCTGGCTGCGGGTCTGGACATGCCGCCGCCTTGGAGGGGTCGGTGCCAGGCTCCAGACTCACCGCGCGGCTTCGGCCAAGGCCTCAGCTGCCGCCACCAGCGCCGGTACCGCCGCCTCAGGCCCCCCGCCCGACCACCCGCCTTCCCCGCTGTCCTCTAAGCCGCGGGAGGGAGGGCAGGTTCCCAACCCTAAGGACCAATCGGCAGGCGGAAGCATTCGATGGACTGAAACGCCGGCCAATAGTCATGAAGGAGAAGTGGAGCTTCGGGACCCGGCTTCTCCAGGGGGCGGGGACTGTTCAAATAGACAAACCACGCGGCCAGTAGCAGGCGAAAGGAGGCTTAGGGTCATTCGGAAGAACCAATCGGTCGCGAGTTGACTTCAGTCACTTCCACGCACACTTCCGGTGCATCGCTACTAGAATTCCCCGCTGCCGGGGGTGCGGCCGAGCCTGGTCCGCTGCCTGGGTAGCTGGGCTGGGACCGAGCGGCGGTCGGCGGAGGTTCCCGACCCCGCGCGGCTCAGTTAAGAAGGAGCGTGTGAGCCACGCGGCTTCCTCCTGTTACTGGAGAAAAAGGACATTTTCGGATTTATGGAGCCGCGATTTCTCTCTTGTTAGATGTCATATGCATTTGAAAAGTTTTTTACTTAGACTTACCACTTTTCTAAAATTATCTAGCTCACAAGATCTTTCGCGAGGAACCATGACCAAATTCTAACTGAGTGACTCATCAATCAGTAATTTCAAAGCAACATCATTTTAAAATCATCTTGTCAAAAAACAATAACGAAAATAGAATTTGACTACATCTCAATTTTTAAAAAAACCAAGGTCCGTTTTTTATAATTAGTATTGAAAATTCCTAAGTATTTCACAACAGGAGTCTGATTAAATAAAATATGATTCATTTATGTTAAGGAAAACGTATGTTGCCATTAATAATCGTAACAGATGAATATTTGCTAAGAAGGAAAAGGGTTCACAATTTGTAAAAAATATATAAATTATACAACAGTATAATATGACCCTTAAAAACATTTATGTATTTATATGTCTGTGTTACCATAGGGAAAATATACAATTAAGGCGTAATGAAATTTGGGGAAGGCATACTATTTTTCTTTATACATTACCATCAATTACTTGTGTAAAAAAAAAAAAAAAAAAAAAGAAGTGTTTTTTGAAGCAATGCAAGTTTCCGGAAGTGTTAAACTGCCAAATTAAAGAGGTTTGGTAATATCCTGTGGCAGACTGGGGGGAAAAAATTATGATTACTGCTTTAGGTTTAGAATCCCTTCATTGCATTGATTCTTCTATGAAATAATTGTTCCTGTGAATTTCACATTTTTCACTTGTGTTAAACATCTCTGTATTTAATCATTAAACATTTTTGAATATGTAATATATTCACTGTTCAAATCTCAAAATAAATAAAAATGTATTTATCACAAAGTCTTGCTCCACCTGTCCCTTCAGTTATTTTCTTAGTTCTTATGTATCCCTAGAATTTCTTTATGCAAATACAAGCAAATATAAATATATATTCTTATTTTTCCATTTTGTTACACTATACCATTGTTCTGTACTTTTAAAAAATTTAGTGTATCTTGGAGATCTTTCTACCTTAGTACATAGAAAGCTTCCTTGTTCTTCTGTTGTTGTAACTGCATAATATTCCACCACATGCAGGTACCATCATTTATTCTTCCAGTCTTCTGTTGATGGAGCCTTGTGTTGCTTCGGAATTCTTGCTATTACTAATGGTGCTACAGTGAATTCCTTCGTACATACATAATTTTATTCCCTGGCACTATACCAAAATAAATACCCAGAAATAAGATTACAGGGTCAGAGGGTAAATGTATGTCTAGTTTGATGGTATTGTGATAATCGAACTCTTTGAGGGAAGTACCAATTTTCATATCCACCAATAATAGGAGATTTTTGCCACCCTAAGACATGATAAGGGTGTTTTCTAACTAACAAAGATGGTTTTATAGCAACAGTGACCACTGCATTTGTAGGTCTCTTTTTCAGATTTACAAAGAGCTTTCTTAACCACTATGTTAAAATGACTAATACTTATTGAGCATTTACAAAGTATCAGGCATTTTGGTGGGCATTATAGCACAGTAGATAAAAGCAGGATGGAGTAAAACTAACCGTTGGGATGATCATGATAGTTAATAACCTCTTAGATATCATTTCCCATTTCAGAGCTTCAAGTTTCTCATTTAAAAGGGGGGCTGGCCGGTTTTCCCAGTGGTTAGAGCTTCAGCCCACAGCCGGGATCCACGTGTCTTTCTCACGTCGGTGTTTCTCTCTCTCCCTCCCACTCTCTCTGAAAAGCCAGGGGGGAAAAAGGGGGGGGTAATTATACCTTCCTCAGTGCGCTCCCTGATTTTGGTCCATTTTGTTACCTGCTGCGTACAGCAGTGCTCAATAGATGCTCACAATTTGTTCACACCGCACGAGCACCTGAACGCATCCCATTCGGGAAACGAGCGCTCCTGGTAAGTGGAAAAGCCACACGCACGCGTGGACCCCGGCACGCTGAGCGAGGACGTGTCCCGCGCGTCTGGCAGCCGCTCAGCGGCGCAGCCCCGGGCTAGAGAGAGGCTGG